TGAACGTGGAGTTTGAAGATCTGAGTTCACTTCTGCACCATGCCATTTACTAGCTGTTTGAGTTCAGATGAGTCCCTGGGATTTGGTTCCCTTATGTGTAAAATGAATAGTTTGGAATAGATCACTTTTTAACATTAAATCTAGGATCCTATAATCTAGTTTGAACTTAGAGTGTATTGCCATCCCAAATTGCCACCTAAGTGGATTTCCAGTTTTGCTTTTGGAAGTCTGTATAATTATAGATTGTTACCATTGTTTTTCATTCTGTTATATAAGGTATCCCAAAAGTCTTAGTAAAGTTAAAAAAATGCAAATCTAAAAGTCATTCAGTATTTGATTTTCACATTTTCCCCAAATGTGAGAAATAAAATCACATAGATACTTATGTTAGTGGGTAAGAGCATAATTTTTTAAAAATTTACTAAAATTGTAGATTTCTAGTGGGAAAGGGGGTTGGTTAGGTGGCACAGAGATAGAGTGCCTGACCTGGAGTCAGGAAGACATCTTCCTGAGTTCAAATCTGGCCTCCAACATTTACTAGCTGTGTGACCCTGGGCAAGTCATTTAACCCTGTTTGCCTCAGTTTCTTCATCTGTAAAATGAGCTGCAGAATGAAATGGCAAACTACTCCAGAATCTTTGCTAAGAAAACTGCAAATGGGGTCATGAAGACTTGGACCCAACTGAAACTACTGAGCAGCAACAACAGAAGTGGGAAAGGAACTTAAGTGATTATGTAGTTCAACTTCTTCCTTTTACAGATGAGGAAACTGAGGCCCAGTGACTTGCTCAGAGACACACAGTCAATTAACAAACATTTAATAGGTGCCTAATGTTTGCCTATCACTGTTAGGCACTTGGGATACAGACAGAAATGAAACATTCCCCACTCTCAACTCCTGGTGTTGGGAAAAGACAACACTTATGTATATTAATACAAAGAAAATTAATACAAAGTAATTACATGAGGAGATACTGGCATCTCTGGGGATAGGAAATCTGAAAAGACTCGATGAACAAGGTGGTGTTTGAACCAAGTTTTGAAGGAAACTAGGAATTCTAAGAGACAGAAACGAAGAAGTGGGATGGAGGGCCACCAGAGTAATGCAGGAAGACAGGAGATAGAGGATGGTGTGTAAGGGATGGCAGCAAAGGCAATCTGGTTGGATGGTGGGATGTGGGAAGGGGAGTGAGAGTAATATACAGCAAGGTTGGAAAGGGAGATGGGAATCGGGTCATCAAAGGCTTTTAAAACCAAAGAGAGTGATTGATATTTGATCATAAAGGCCATAGGGAGCCATTGGTCTTTATTGAGTAGAGGAGTGACATGGTCACACCTGAAGTTTAGGAAAATCATGTTAGCAATTGTGATGAATAGAGATTGAAAGGAGGAGAGACTTAAGGCAGAGACACCACAGGAGCCTGTTGATCTTGCTGAGACATAACGAAGCCTGAACTGGTGAGGTGACTGTGAGTAAAGAGCGGAGGACATGTGATAGGTGTTGTGGAGAGAGAAAGGACGGGATTTGGCAAAGGATTGTTTATGTGGGCGAAGGAACAAGGATGATACCGAGGTTGTGAGTCTGGGTGATCGGAAGAATGTTGGAAGCAGTCTACTAGGGGATTTGAACCCACGTCTTCCAACAGTGTTTGGTCCACTTCACAATGCTGCCTAGTTGATCCAATATCATCATTTTATACTTCTGCAACTCAGACTGAAAATAGTTTCTTAGCAAAATCCTATCTGTGTCTTTGTCTGCAAGCTTCGTTCTTGCCTTTCAGTTTGTAATTTGAATATTTAAAACTTCTGGAACTGAAGAAAAAGAAATCCAGATATGTGATGTTTATCTGAATGTCTAAAAATCAAACTTGTTTCCTTTAAAATGGTACTTTCTAGGAGCTTGTTCCCAAAATTAAGGTATCTGCTTTCAAGTCTAAATTCATCATCCATTCTTCGTTTTCTCTCTATTTAGCTCACTGTAACCTCATCTGATATTTCTTATAAAACAAAGAGTAGATAAAAAAATACAGGTATTTCATAGGTATTTCTGTTACAAAAAGAGGAATCACATTGTTTCTGACATTTAGATTTAAGTTATTTTTTGATGAACAAAGAAGTGAAAAAACTTTTGTAACAGCATGTCATTCTATTAAAAGACCCATGTATTCTTCTGTAATTTTGTTACAATTGTAATTAGCCTCCTTTCTTCCCCCCATTTCCTTATTTTTGAAAATTCTGAACTTATTAAGATATTAAAGATAAGTTTTTTCCTTTTCTAATTCACTTCCAAAAATGAGTTATTGGACCCAAACAGAAGTTATTCAAAAAGGCATGTATTTGCTTTGAAGCAAGATATTTTTAAATCTAAACACCTCTGGTGGGTCATATGAAAAATTCTTTTTAACCTTTTGCAGTTTTAGGCATGGAGAGGTAAACTAAGCAGATGATTTAGGTGAAGTTTTGTAGTTTTCAGTTCACTCTGCAAAGATTTTTTTTCCCCAGTTAACCTTTTCCCTTCTACTTGACCTTAAACATTTCACAGGCTAGACTTTGGTACAGGAGAATTAACTTGCAATATTAACTCTATTGTATTATAACTTTATTGTTTGGGTAATTAATTTAAATTGCAAACTTCGGCAGGGAATTGACTATGTTTGGGGGTGATATGAAAATGATGATCAATTTCTGTTAATCAAATATAACCATTTTGAGAGAAGGGAAATAGTTACATTAGCTTGGGCTTATGAAGGTTTGGCATATTTAATAATTAATAAGTATTTTCTGCCAATAAGGATTAAATTTCTGCTGACTTGTTCCTTTAGCTTGTGTCTCGTATAGTACTTTTGTGGTCGTGTCTCGAGGAGGTTTAAAGGTGTATCTATAGATATTCTCATGTTCTGTTCATCCAGAGGGCAGAATCTTGTGAAAGTGCTAGAAGGGAGGTACCCCTTGAACTTCCGAAATGCCATTAGTATATTATAAGCATCGGTCAGTCCCATTGTCTTCATTTGTCATTCTTGATCGCCGCTTGCCATGTAAGGCTAGAAGCCTGCATGTGCCTGGCAACTGTTACCTAGTGACAGTTTCAGCTGCAGTAGCCATTGGCTGGGCTGTTGATTGGGGCAGAAGGACCGAGTCACCTTTCTAATGGGGAGTTCTTCTGCATCAGCTCAGGGTGATGAGGAGGAGGTGCAGGGGCTCAGGTGCAAGCAGTAATCCAGAGAGCGCAACTGTGAAGTGAGAAATCGCTACAGCCTCCTTGTAACTGCATCACAGTCAGTCGGACTCCTAAATCAGGCTGCAAAGCATAGCAGCTGATTAGAGTGGATCTAGGTGGGAAGCGTTGCCTTATTCTTGTAACAAGAGAACCCCAAAGTGGTTCCTTTGAAATAGAAGAAATTGGCTATTGACAGTGGGAACTGCGTGCTGAGGAGCGTCCTGTGGATGTTATAGAAGAATAAAGAATAAGGACTCCCCTCTATGGCTTGGTGATGTATTGGAGAAAAGAACTTTAAAAAGAATGCTTTCTATTAAACTGCTGCATCAGAACTAGAGGAAATTTTTTATTTCTAGCGCATGAGATTCCTTCAGAAGGCACTGTGACTCCTAACAAAAGGACCTCTGAGACACTAGTACTTTTTAAAGGACTTTCAGCACCATATCCGAATGACCTTGGGGACCTTTCTATTGGAATTGCTTCGTCCAGCCCTGCCGGATCGCCAGCATTTCAGACTCTAGGATTTAAATTTGCCTCGATGCTTTGGGGACATTTTAAAACAAGACTGTCTAGTAACCTACCTAATGGCCCCTGCACTAATTGAGCATTTCCTCAAAATAGAACACAGAAAGAAAAGAAGCATTTTCTTAACATATGGCTGTTCTGTAACTGCAAATGTAATAAACGAGGTAATTTTCCAATACTGGGAAAGCTAGTTGCTGAAGTAATTATTTAATATGCTGATCATCTAGTGAAGATAGACAAGGTAGAGCAGCCTAGAGGATGAAGATCTGACTGAAAATAACTGAGTAGTAAACAATGGCAGCATTTCTAGTCAAATCAGCATTTCATTAGCGTCAGAGTAGAATGCAGACTGAAGTTTGGGGCTTTTGTTTGGGGCTTTTGAAATGATTCCCGAGTTGTTGCAAAGGTGAAAAATAGCATTGATTGAGCCGTGCACTTGATTGTCCTGATTCATTATAAGGAATGTGACAAGCCAGCTAATGAAAAATATTTTCAGTTACCGAGACTGAAACTGAATGCAAGGATGGTTTTTGAGGGGAGGGAGGTGGATAGGGGAGAGGCTTAAATTATGCGGCTGCCACTGCCACCCATAACTGGAAAGGACTGAAACTGTTAAAACTAAAAACTGACTTAAAACTTCATGGGTTCATCTTATTTGGGGAGTGTGAGCTGATTGCACATTATCTGCTTCGCTCGAGATGTTTTGTTTTCCTCTCCTACAGTTGGAGGATAAACCTTGCTTTTCTACCCCTTCCATTCTGCCTCTAAAGAAAATCCACTCAATTCATATCCAAGTAGTGTTGAGTCTTTGGGAATTGACCTTGACAAGAAGGTTTTCCTTACCTCTTTAATGAAAGGATGGATCACAGGGATGAGACAGGGAGTGTCATCTCCAGAACAAATCCCAAAGGCATAGCATGCTAGAGGGAACTTTTTCTAGGTTTCCAACTAAAAGCAGTTACTGACCTCCTGAAATCTTAATGGTTTAAATGAATCTGAAACATTCATTTATATCATATAATTGCTGATCAAGGAAGCCCGAGTCCTAGGAAGACTTTTGTCCTTTTCTCGTTCTCTCTAGTGGATCCCAAAGAAATTGACTTTCTCAGGAGAACAAACAGTCTTCAAAAGCTTTTTCTTTGCCCACCCCATCCACTTGATGGCTGAAATAAAAAAAAAAATGCCTTTCATTTTCCATAGTTGAAGATAAAGAATCTGTTTTCTTTAGAAGTGCCTTGTGTTTGTTAAAGGTAGTTTGAGAGCACTGGAGGGAGCTAACTGGTGGCCTTCTTTTCACCTCCTTCCTAGCTTATTTTCCCCCCACAGCTGAGGTGTGTCAGTGCTGTACTGAGGCTGATGAAGAGACTTGAACAGTTCTGAGAAGCTAATCTGTGACAGAAGCAGTTGGCAGTGTCAGCAGAGACAGCGTGAGCCACCAAAGTGCAGAGGTTAGCAGATGTGGGGCAGGCCATCACTGGACTGCCATCGACCCAGCTGCAGGGTTTCCTAATCCCAAACCATGAATGAGTCCAGGTTAATTGAACCAAAGACTCACAACACGAGCTTTGGGAACATCTCGGAGCATCACTCCTGCCCACTTGGATTTGGCCACTACAATGTAGAGGACGTCTGCATCCTGGAGACAGTTGTTATCGTCCTGCTGACGTTTTTAATCATCGCCGGGAACTTAACCGTTATTTTTGTCTTTCACTGTGCTCCCCTTCTGCATCATTATACTACCAGCTATTTCATCCAGACGATGGCCTATGCTGATCTCTTCGTAGGAGTGAGCTGCTTGGTTCCTACTCTCTCCTTGCTTCATTATTCCACAGGTGTCCACGAGTCACTGACTTGCCAGGTTTTTGGATACATCATCTCAGTGCTGAAGAGTGTTTCCATGGCGTGTCTGGCTTGCATCAGTGTGGATCGCTACCTTGCCATCACCAAACCCCTCTCCTACAACCAGCTGGTCACTCCTTGTCGCTTGAGAATCTGCATTATTCTGATCTGGATCTACTCTTGCCTGATTTTCTTGCCTTCTTTTTTTGGCTGGGGGAAACCTGGTTACCACGGTGACATTTTTGAATGGTGTGCTACCTCTTGGCTCACCAATGCCTATTTTACTGGCTTTATTGTTTGTTTACTTTATGCCCCTGCTGCCTTTGTCATCTGCTTCACTTATTTCCACATTTTCAAAATCTGTCGGCAGCACACCAAAGAGATCAGCGACCGAAGGGCCCGATTTCCTAGCCACGAAGTTGATGCTGCCGGAGAGACTGGACACAGCCCTGACAAACGCTATGCCATGGTTTTGTTTCGGATAACCAGCGTGTTCTACATGCTGTGGCTCCCTTACATCATATACTTTCTTCTGGAGAGCTCCCGAGTCCTGGATAATCCCGCTCTCTCCTTCCTAACAACCTGGCTTGCTATAAGCAATAGTTTCTGTAACTGTGTAATATATAGCCTCTCCAATAGTGTTTTTAGGTTGGGCCTCCGAAGATTATCACAGACAATATGTTCCTCTTGTATGTGTTTAAAAGACCGGGACATCCAGGACCCCAAGCCCAGAAAACGGGCTAATTCCTGCTCCATCTAAGGAAAACTGCACAGCTGATCAAGTACAGTCTGAGAGTGGTTTGGAATAGGATTTGGTACATCTGGGAATTTTCCATGACAGAAATATTTACTTGAATAGTTCATTATGAAATGACATGTAAACTAAGGTGATTTTTTTTAAATGGAAAAGAAAACTATGGAAAAGGAACCTAGAAAGGGAACACACATGAGACATTATTTATCATGTGAATATGGTTCCTTTGAATTTGTATGGTGGTTAAGAGAAATTTATCAGTGAAAATTAAAAAAAAAAACAACAAATTAGTATCTCAAATCTTCCACAGGGCATAATATAACTGGCACATCAAAGCAGATTCCTCCTGTGTATCTTTCTCTCTCTTTTTAGGAAGTGATTTCTTTTTCTTATTTTCCCCTGTAGATAAATGCTGCATATTATATATGTAGTATGTGATAACCTTTTGCATTAAAATATACTTTTAAAATGCAGTAGGCTACTACCCACAAACGATCTTCACAAAGCCTACACGGTAAATATAGCTTAATAACTAGCCACATAACACCCTTGCATATACTTTTACAGTATTCATTGCTGCACAAATGGTCATCAAAAAACAAAATTAAAATCATTATTTTTTTTAAAAGGTGGAAGCTTTTTTTCCTGTTTATCAAAGTCTGCTAGTCTCTAACCTCCTCTAAATCTTCTTTCCAGCCCTCCCATTTTTCTTGCCCTAAATCTTTTGGTTCCTTATTCCAGAAGTGTCTTAGTTAATGAGGGAACTTACTGTTCAAGGTAATTACGATGTTAATAACCTCTTCCTTCCAAAAAAGCAGCTTAGCTGGGAGGGAGGAGGAACGATATTCATTCAACGTGTTCTAATAGCTTTTAGAAACATTTTCCCCACTCTGGGTCCTATTAAATAAGTTTCTGTGCCTAATATGTTTTTTTTTTTTTTAATAGCTAAGGCTTCTCTCCCCCCACCCCCTTTTTGCTAACAAGGTTATTCTAATGCAGATACAAGAGATGCACCTAGTAGTGAGATATTACTCAGTGCTAGTTTGAATTTTTTTCTTTTTCAAATAAAATATTAACCCTTTTATGTTGGGTCTACTACTTACAATAGCTTACTATTGTAGTTTCAAGTCCTTTGTGTGAATTCTGCTTGCATATACTGTATTTTTAAAACAAAAAAAATGTAAATTATATTATATGGTCTGTGCCTAATGTTTTCATAGCACATCGAATAGGTCAGTGCTGTTTTCAATCTGCAGGATTGAAACAAATACACAAAAAACAAAAACTTGCTTTAAGAGAAAAATACTTTTTGTGCCGTTGTTAAATAGATATTTATTAGACAAAACTATTCTTGGAGGAGGTGAGAAGACAATTTACTTAATTATCAAATACAGGTAAGAGCTTCAGTATTTCCCTTTGTAATGATCTGCTTTCAGATTCAGAGATGAACTAATTTTGTAAGTGCATTACATGGGTTTGTGTAATAAATTACCAGGGGTTCAGATGCAGCATGTTTGGGGAGGGTTTAGAGTGGGAGGGTGGGTGGGAGTGGGGCACAGCAAAGGGCTGTATAAATCTGACTTTGGGCCAGTCTTTCAGATGGATTTAAGTGTCTAACTTAGGAATATTGGACTTGTTAACAGCTGCACTATGATTTCCTTGTTTTACCAAAAAACAAATATATTGAATGAATTGTGCCTAGGATCCTTCACATTGGAAGCCAACCGTGTTTGCACACCAATGGTTTGACTTCAGAGGTCCCTTAAACGTGAACATGTTGTTTTGTTAAGGTTGTTCTGAACCCCTGTATGTTTTTTTAAATGTAAGAAAGATTAAAAATAAAGAATAAAATAGTATTATATGTATCAAAACTGGACTTTGCCTCAGTTTAATGACATCATGCATTTAGAATGATAGAATTTCCTTTTCAGGGATGAGGATTTGATTTTCTTAAATTTTTGTGATTGGAGCCATTTTTTTGCCTCTGTCATTTCCTTCGTTGGTGTCTTATTTTTGTCTTTTGAACTAGATAGCAAGGTAAAGGACTCATCTAATAGTTAAGCCTAAATTAAGGAACTTTAATACTGCCAGTTATTTTGTGCTTAAAATGGAATCCCTTAGTTTTAATTTATTGCTTGGGAATGCCGTCTTTTGTCATGTGACTTTGTTATATTCAGAAAAGAGGGACCTGAGTTCTCTGGGCTAGAAGTCTGATGATAGCACTTAGCTCTATCTTTATGTATCTTACTAGAACACCTGTTGCTTCTGCCTTCCCAGTGCATTAGAACTCTGTCATTTCCACATGTTTCTTCTCAGAACCCCTAAAATCTTGGCCTTTTTCTTTTTTCTATGAGTGGTGTTTTAAATTTTGATCTATATCTTCGAGTCAGAACTTCTGCACTGGCTGCTCATTGTTCTTATTCTAAATCTGTAAGTTTTAATTCCTTTTCCCAACCCACAGTAAATACTAAATAGCAAAAGGCCTCGTTTGCCCATCCCTAAGTTATTGCCTCCTCCTTGTTTTATGTAGGCAACCCTCCCCCAACAGTGGTCTGGTAAGCCCAGTACCTAAGGTTGTCCTTTTTGCATAAGGTCAAACTGAAGCCTCAGTTATAGGCCTTCTTTATTAAATTCAGCCTTATAAATTTCTTCTTTTTTTTTTCTGTAAAAGGAAAACTGGTTTTCTCTCATTTTTTTTCCCCTTCACTGAAAAAAAAAAAGAAAAGAGGGCCTCTCAGTCACTTTAAGGTCTGTTAGATCAAGGACTGTGAGGCAAGTTACAGGCTTTAATGATATTTCATAAGGCCTTAATTTAAGTCATTTAAGTTGCTTATGCTGTCCTTTAGTGTGTATTTCTATAACAGGAGGATATTACTTTGAAAGCACTGTGTGATTTTTCAATGAATGCTGTTTCTCTTCTCCCCCCCCCCCCCATTATTACCATTATTAAGTGGCTTTCCATGGTTGTTATCCCCTAGGAATGAGAATAACAGCCATATGAAATAATGTCACGTGCAACCAGCTAAGGATGTGATTCTGTTTATCTTCACCAGGCTGATTCTTAGGAGGAACTTGAGTGCAAATGAGACTGAACAGTATCAGTCGTCACCACCTTGAAGCACACAATTGGCATTCAATAATAGGAATTGTGCTGTTGGTTTCAGTACAAGATCTTGCAACTTTTTGTATGAAACATTGTGCTGTTTTTTAAATCGTTAGTATCTTTCTGGGCTTATGCAAAATATAAATGACCTACTGCTCATACAGACGGTCCAGTGCTATGCTTAATTTTCAGATACATTAAGATAATATGTGTGAGATGATTGCTTATTGTTAAGTGATATTGAATATTTTATTTCAAATAAATTTTTTAATGTGAAAATTCTAAGAAAAAAATCTCTGACTCCCTGAGACAGTAGGACATTTAAGGCATTTTTTCAATGTTAAGTCCTTCACAAAATATCTAACTCATTCTTGGTTTGGAGCAACTGAGTCATACTATTGGTGGAATTGACTACTGGTGAAATTTTCACTAGAAACACAAAATCGAAGAGTTGAAAGAGGGACATCAGATGAAAAAGAATTCCCACTACTCTGTACCCAGCAAGTGGTCATTTGTTTTTTGCTTGGAGACCTGGTAGAAGAAGGACCCACTACTCACAGCCTTTTGTAATAGCTGTAGTTGTTAAAAGAATTTTTCCTAGTTCTGGCTTAAATTTACATATATGTAGATTTTACTTGTTGTTCAGAGTTCTGCCCTCTAGGACTGAGCAAAGTAAGTGCAGTCCCTCTACCATTTGATGACTTTTCAGGTTCCGCTTTCTACATTAAACATACTCAGTTTTTTTCAGCCTATTCTCATACAGCATGAACTTAAAGTCATTCACATTTCTTGTTGTCCTTCTCTGGGCATTCTGTAGCTTACCATTCTCTTTTCTACAGTGTGGTGACTAGTAGGTGCTATAGATGTAATTTGATCAGGGCAGAATACAGTGTGAGTCTTATCACTTCCCTGTTCCTGGAAGGTGTATGCGTCTTAATGAAGGGTAAGATCACATTAGTGTTCTTGGCCACCATGTTCCTTTTTTGGCTCATGTTAAGCTTGCAGTCTTTTTACAGATGACTTGTTGCCTCCTCCATCCTATACCTGTGAAGCTTTAAAACAAAAAACAAAAACAAAATGAAACAACAACAACAACAACAACAAAAAACCAGACCAATTGTAGGAATTTGCCTTTTTCTGTAAAATTTCATCTTACTTGATTTGACCATTGTTGGGATGTTAAGATCTTTTGTACTCTCTTACCTACTCTATTAGGTATGTCTCCCAGCTTTGTAGCACCTGAATATCTGATAAACATGCCATTTCTGCCTATATCCAGGTCACTGTTAAAAAATCTGAGCACAGATCTCTGGGGCACTCCACTGGAGACCTTTTAAACCTTTATCATCACAGTTACAGAGGAAAATATATATACCATTGAATCCATGTATCGGTAAGTCCTTGGAATCAATTGGATAGCGAGCAAATGAGTTTAGTAAGCGGTTTGGGAAAACTGGAATGTCACTTTTTCAGGACCCAATCTTAACATCTTTTGTTGTAGCAAATAGATTTTGTTCTTATTCCTCTATTCATTGGATAAAGAAGGGAAATTTAGAAACCAGAGATTTATTGACTTATGGGCAATTCACTTAATTTTTTTTGCACTTTTGTTTCTTCATTAAAAAAATGGCATCAACCATATCTTCTCCTTTTCACTTACTCTAGTTCTTTATTGATTAATAAAATAAAATTAGAAAAGCATTCAGATTCCTTAAGAAGGTCCTAATATAATCAAATAAGGTTACTATAATGAGAACTAGATGATTATTAGCCTTAAGGTTCATGTTAAAAATTTCAGACAAGTGGTGCTACTATTATTGATATCATTAATCATCTGAGCTTGGAAATTAAAATCTTGGCAGTCTTAAACTTTGGAGTTTTCTTTTTAATGGAATATAACCTTTTTGGGGTATGTTTGTTGTGAGCATAAAGATCAAGATATAGGCAATATAATTGTTGAATTAGTTAATGTATTGTGTTAAGTCAGATGGGAAAATCTTTTACTTATATATATTGCCCCTCTGCTAATAGATGATATATTCTGGTCCATGGATCCTTTCACTTGTCTGTTTTCAGTTTTGATCTTAGTTATATTTTAGGATTGGACAGGATTGG